CTCTCTCTCTCTCTCTCTCTCTCTCTCTCTCTCCCCTCCTTCTCATGTACTGATGCTATATCTTAAACGAATACGTGCTGTGAATAGACTGCCATTATATATGGTTTCAAATCTACGGCAGCGCTAAAGATATTTCCTCTCATTATTCATTAAATGAGAGAATTTCAGCAAAACATAACACAACACAACATAACTCTACCGCTAGTTATATACACAAGTGGTAGCAAAGAAAGGGTGGGAAGCCATCCGTGTGTCCCCTCTTTCCTAATAGAATACAGTAGTTATACGAGTGATAGAAGAAGTCATACAATATAAATGAAGGGACGAATGATATTTGTATTCATTTTACTCTATTCTCTTCACTAAACTTATTACCTGAATGTTGGGTGCGGTGTATATATACAGTACACTCAACACTGTATCGCGACTAATGAACTAATCTTCAGACCTGTTATTATTCATTACTTTTATGCGACAGACTTTTCCTGTCCTCAAACACACCAAACATAAGTGCATTGAATATATCGTAATACAGAATATGCGAAACCTGTGCCTCCGGGCGATTCAATTTCATAAGAGCTATCATTTCTTTTGTATTCAATAAAACAAAACATAACAGAGAGAAAAATCCTTACAAATCAAAAACCAATAAAACAAAAACTATTCCTTTTATTCCAGTGATCGGCGCAAAAATTTTTGCCATTCGACTAATCAGTATTAATGTTCCGAAAGAAGTTATCTTCAGATCCAACGCTACTTTTTATTGTAATTATTTTGAAGAATCGGATCGACTTTATTCACTCAAGTGGTATAAGAGGATCAATGAAAGGGATGCAGAATTCTTCAGTTATAGTAATTGTCAATAATATTCTATTGTTTCCTTCCCTTCCCTTCCCTTATATTTCTTTTTCTTTCTATCTTTCCTTTCGTTCTTTATATGAGTTCTACTTTTGTTATAAGAAATGCATTGAGTTTTCTGTGAGAGCATTAAAAGTAATTCTTTTTTAAATATTATATTAAAAGACAAAATCAATCGCAACACTGAACCCAACACTGAACCCACATTTGTTGCAATGAATATAATGGAGAAAAAATAATTCAATTTATTCGACAAAAATTTATTCTTTCATTTTGATGAATAGAATTATTTTAAAATTCATTTTAATATTAATAGAGAGGAGAATACGAGAGAGAGAGAGAGAGCATTGCTTACCTTCAAAGAGGAAAAGTAAGACAAAAGAGTGCATTATTTGGTGATTCGATTCACGTAATGATTGGGAGACACTCTTTGCACGCAATATAACAGTCAGTATATATAATACAAAAGATGGATATTTTTGAGAAACAGAAAGAAAGAAAGAAAAAGAAGTGATTTTTATATATAATATAATATACTGTATATAATATATTTTATTGTATAAATAACTTGAATTTATAGCAGTTATACACAATCGTATGAACTATTCTTTATATTCTAAATGATTATTATAACCAATGGTTTCGTTTTCGTTATATTAAAAAAGTTTATCTCCTTTTGTTGTTTTCGGCGATTGTGTTGAAAGACTAGAGTCGAAGACAATTGGATTTCTTTGGTTACAAAAATGGCACACTTTATACACCGCAGGAGTTGTGTTGCGATCGCTTCTGAGACGAGTTTTGTTAGTCTATCGTAAAGTTTTACAACAATAGACTTTAACTGCTTCTAACATTTGGTGCATAAAAAACATCGAGAATTAGATGCGAACTCGTGTTCCGTCTCTTCTTTTATACGACAAAAGCGGTGACAATAATGTTGACGAACGCCAGAAGAGGGACGACAACTAATGTCTCGCCCATTGACAACACTAAACACAACATAACCGTCAAAACATAAAAACACAAATTAATATTAAAATAAATGTTTAGCTTAGAAAAGGATAGCATAGGAAAAGTACAGTATGTTCTCTGGTATTCATAAATGGATTGAAAGCTTTTAAATAAATTAATGAGTTTCTCAAAAAAGATGAGTTCATAATATTTTGAGTATAAATATTATTAGTATAAGTGAACTAAAACTTGACATTCAATCGATTAATTCAATTTAGAAATACATTTAAGAGTTAAAAGAGATGAGAGGATCGGCTGTAAGACAACTGCCATAAAGTTTATTATACTTTATATAATACTGTTTATGAATTGAATGCAATGAATATACGAAAAGGAAAAGGAGAGAGAATTTCTACTAAAATAATAAACTTTTATTTTGATGAGAGAATGCCTTCAAATATATATTGTATAATAAATACAAGCGATTTAGACATTATTTTGAATTATTAAATCATTGTTAGTGTCTTAAGTATCTATTAGTTGTTTAGTTATCCTTACATTTATTAGGCGAAGAATTGTGCGAATGCTGTCTTGTGTGCCAACCTATACAACAACGACAAGAATTCAATGTTTTTTCATCACTATTATTGGATAGTCTATTGAAGACATCAATTGTTGTCTTCTCTATCATAGCATTTACTCCACTCATAACACAAACGCCAAAATATAATGTTTAATATTTTGGGAATTTATGGCAAACAATACTCTCGTAAATAAAAATTCTCTTTTTATTTCACTCCAAGAAGTGAACAAAAATGAATAAAAATAAAGAAAACTTTTCACTCGAAAACTCATTATTTTCAAGAGCTATACCCGGTATATGTGTTTTCCAGTCATTTATCTCTTATATGTATTTATGTTATAAAGAATATATTGTATAATATATTATATCTTGGATATTATATATTGGATATGGATATTGAGATATAAATAAATAAGAATTTTTTTACTAACAATTAAGTAAACAGACGAACATATAATATAAACTTTATTGAAAGGACTCTTCAATCTGTCTTCAGCCTAGAATTTGTGCCGTTTTTACTTTCAGTGACTTTCAGTGACTGGCCTTCGAGTGAACTTTTCATTCAAATTTCAAACTCACGACACTCTGGACTGAAAAACTTTGAAAATACATATAAAGTGTTTTTGAATGGAAGAGCTATTGTTATACGACTTTGAAAACGCTAAGCGAAGCAAAGCGAAGACACGCACCGATGAACTTGTGTTACAAAAATGCAAATATTGTGTTGAGGGAAGAGAGAGAAGGAGAGGAGACCATCACTTTGAGAGACAAATAATGTCTATGTATTCCATAAGTGTATATACGGTAAAAGTCTGGCTCAGTATTGAGAATAATATACAGCTGTGTATATATGCGATGCTTTGTATGGACTTAATGTATAGATATGTGTATATAAAATATATTTGTATTCAATGAACACAATTGTCGCCTTATCCTCAATATCGTCACAAATAAGGTTGTGTAGGGCTTGTGTAGGGTCTGGTAGTGTTAGCGTTGGCATCATTGATAGCATGGACAGCACTGATATATCCGTACACTTTAATGTTGTCGGTTATGCATTCAATTTTCTCACGCCTTACGCCACAACTCTGAGAGCAGTTCTGGCTTTCGAGAAATGCTTACAAATAAGTCTTAAACAAATAGAAGTGACTAAAGAAAAGCCATTCAATGATAGAAACATTGAAACAGTGGGCAATAGTAAGCAATAGTAGGCAATAGTGAATGAGTTTGTGTACAAAACAAGTTCTAATCTCATGAAAACAGTTTTAAGCCGATTTAAGGCCGCATTTATGCCTTTGAATGACAAATAAAGTTTTATAAGCAATGAATGCCTTTTTGTGTCACTAATGAGATCCGATCGACCATCCGATCAATTCGTGAAACAAAGCCATTATATAACTTATATAACATTATTATATAAATTGTATTTAAAATTATATGCCTTTTATATGCTTTGGCTCTAACGACACGAATATGATTTGTGGGCGTATCTAATGATCTGATCATCTCTTGCATCGTCTTATTATAGGGGATGACTCTTACCATTCATTGCCATTCAATCTTTACTCTCAGATCATATGGTTTTGTTTGCAAATTGTTTTCAAAGAATGTAATAACACTTTAATTTTGTGTTTTCGTATAAAACTTGCTTTATATTCAATATTCAGTTCTTAGACAATGTTCTCTGCATTTCTTTCCTATTATATTAAATATATTAAACTCTTATATTAAGTTATATATCTCTAAAACATAATAATAGTCATAACAATAATATTTGAGCAAAACATTGAACGCCAATATATAGCGGTTTGATATGTGTTGTACGGGAATAAGTGGTAAGTTTTTTGCCAACAACAACAACACTCAACCCATCGCTGTTTTGGACCCATATTTCCGCAATGGAATCGAAAATTGGAGATAAAAGTAATGATAAAATTGCATAAAAAGGCATTCGGTTCGGAGCCTGGAGTTAGAAATAGTTTTTGAATGGCATATGAGGTTCGGTGTGGAGGAGATCTACTCAAGAATCTGCATCACATATACTGTACAACAATACAACACATGGAGGTTACGATGCATTCACTAACAAAAACTCTTATACTTCTCACCGCTATATATAAGGCAAAAGAGACATAATATTGACGGCAAATATTAGACTTTATTGTCGAGAGTTTCGATCGAAGGGAAAGAGGAGTTTGTGTGTTGGCATCAAATAGTTGTTTAAATTCATAGGAATTCATATATTTTGCCGTTTGACTGATTTTACGAGAGTTTTGCATATATTTGGAGCTCTTTCTTATGAAAGTAGAGGAGAACTGACGACAATTGCATACCTGACTGTATGGCCAGATTCCGTGTCTCCATGTAATCAGTCTTCTCGATCATAAGTCTGCACTCGTAATGATCGGTCACATCAATGGACGCGGTATACGAGTCTTCATATACTTGTGATGTCAATGCAATGGTGTATTGACCGGACTTTTCACGACTCAGTGAAGTCGTTGTTTTGTCTTTCACTTCAATTGCATTAATACTGTTTGAATCATTTGATTGCGTTATTCTGAATAATGTTAGCTTAGGCTGTGGTGAGAGTCCGGTGCCCTCACACGTGATGTTTACCCCATTGTCCACTTCTATCACGTTCATTGTAAATGCTTTTGCCGTTTCTAAATGCAAACAATAAAATGTTTTAAATTTAGATTTAAATTCATTGTTAAGCTTCTGTATTGAATTCAATTCAATTGACATAATATACAGCGAATAGTATTTTGTTTTTCAATTTTGTGTTTTTAAAATATCCTCATTATTCAGCAATGTTTGGGAAAACATTTAAATAGATTAATGATATTCTAAACACATGAAAAATTTATGAAAATAAAGTATTCATTAATAAAATTCGTTTATTTAAACAAAATATATAAACGAATGAAAAGTCTGCGGAGTTTTAACAATTTTATTAGCCCTAAGAATAACTTTATATTACTTCACATATAATATGAAACAACACATCAAAATAATTCGTTTAAAAAGATTTGAAAACTAAAACTCTCACTATTTTTAAATACACAGTCTCTCTCTCTCTCTCTCTCTCTCTCTCTCTCTCTCTCTCTCTCTCCCCTCTGCATATTAGTTGTCTTCTAATAAAAATCAATATTTCTAAAGAATTTGTGGTTTAAATGTAAACTAAACTTTTGTCAACTAAACAAATATTTCTGCAATTTATGCGAGAGTCAGTCATACAGACAGTGACAGCCGTTTCGTATTACCGTATATTAAATTCATTGCTCTTTTACTCTAGAATTTTTATTTTAGATTTTCCCAAAGATTTGCATTAATTTTCTGGACAATTATCCCACAAATTATACCATAAATAATGAGTTGAGTGCTCTTAGAGTCGTGTCCATCCATTGACTGAACACTACATTCATATTCTCCGCTCAAATTTATCGGTGGGTTTATGAGTCGAATGGCTCTGAATTTTGTTAATTTATCATCGATTGAGTAATTCTTGTCAACGAATGGCTCTATTTTATCGGAATATTCGCGCCTATCCTTTGAGATAATCCATTGATAGATAGACGTCGGGTCTCCCTTATGGTACCTGTTATGGAGACAAATGCCAACACAAAAAGACAAATCAAATTATAGTCAAATGAATGGTTTAAATCATGGATCGATTTGGTTGTGTAAATAGGGAAAGCGATTTGTCTCGACCAACCATTTAAGTATAGCCATTGTATCCCATCGTTCATCCATTTCAAACTGACAATCAAGAACGACACTTCCAGACGAATCCTTTTCCATGTATTGAGTTGGACTCATACCAGTTATTCGCACGCATTCCACCACTATATCTGTTAATAGAGTTTCGCACAAATCTATTATTGAATGCTATTTTTCGAAGAAAAAATACTAAAAAATTTTTGACATATTTTTGCTTGAAATTGGTTTTTAAGGACACAATTGGAAAGTGTTTCTCCACCACAACAGGTGGTTATCGAGTGAAAGCAAATCTAATCACTCGTAGCCGTAAGCGGTTGGGCTAGAGATGCGCCCAAAACAGGCGCTGACCATAATTAGGTGAGCTTTTGATCGTTTGAAATGTGGTTTAACAGCGCCTAACAGTTGTTGTCTACGAATTGTTCGGTTCTTTATGTGATTGCTGTTTGCAATTCATTAAAATTTTTTCCATTATTAGGCCATATGTTTGATAGGTTTGCAATACATTTACGATCGCAACCGAAAACGAGTGGAAAAATATTTTTGCTTTTTGGTTTGAAAATAAAACTATTTGTATGCTTTTGTATGCTTTCTATGCTTTCATGAGTACTCAAAAATCTTATATTTCTTCTACACTTTTCTCTCTCTTCGCGAACGCATTACTCGTGAAACAAAATGTACTTATTTTTTATGTTATTATTTATATTTGAGTGTGAATTCAGTTAACTGTAAATACTTATGTCTTAAGATATAAACTCAAATATAAATAGTTAGTCAACTCAGAGCACAGGGATTGCATCGCGCAGTGAGTCTATAGCCGAGACTATGAGTGCCATTAAAAATAGCAATAATAGGAATATATTCACACACAATGAACACAAGCTCTGGGAGAGTGCGGACCCACTCCTGTGATTCATACATTTGCCACAACATAGAGACTAATTTAGGCTAACTTTGGCTTCAATTCAATGCAATTAAATGATGTGAAAACTCAAAGACTTGGAAAGTATTGGGAGGACTGCAAGTGTTGGTCACAGAAGTCATAATTGCAGTGCAAAGCAGAAGTGCATAACTTTTCTGAGAGAGACAGAAAAGAGAGTAACATTAGAGACAAAACAGGAGAGAGAGAGAGAGAGAGAGAGAGAGAGAGAGAGAGAGAGAGAGAGAGTTGGCTCACCTGTCGATTCCTCGGCCTCGAGAGTGAAGGCCAGCCGTTTGGTCGCACAGAGACACAGAATCCACAATATTTGACCAAACATTTGACTCAAATGCAAAGTAAATAACAATTTACTTATACAAAGACTTTTGAATATAAAAATGACAAAAAATTATGAAATTATGTTTTTATAACTCATTTAGAGTGTGAGAGCTTTCGCTGAGAAGTTTATGCACTGAAAACATGATGAATATTATATAATAGTGAGCTAATAGTGCTCCACATATGATATGACATTTAAGATAATAACAACAATAAAGCTTAAGAAACAGCGAGTCTTAGGATAACACGAATAGTATTTTGTTGTAAATAATATTGTTTTTTAAACACAGATCTGTTCGTATGAACGAAGACCTTATTTCTTGGTTAAGTGAAACACATCGACTGGTATATGGATAAGCACTGGTATGGCATACAATCTTGACATAGAGTGTACAGCACACGCACTAACCACGTACGACAGGGCATGTGCGGCGATATAACGCTACCGATTGCCACCAAAAGCACTGTAAATGATATTTAGCTGAGATTTGGCCTAAAGCTAAGTCACAAGTAATCATAAGTTTCCGGTCGAGAGTCCGTCCGAATGCATAAAACTTAAGACAAACGAACTCTTGTACAGCGAGTTAGGGCACGAACTCAACAATTAAGTCCCAATGAAAGCACTGTCACTGAACTACTACTCACTACTACTGGCTCTCGAAGTCTCTGACGGCTACTCCACTCCACACAACACTTCAAAAAGTAACATCTCTTAAAGAGAGAGGCGGCAGGAAATAATAGGGGGTTTGTCAGCGGGGCTTAACAGTCACCACAGCTTACATACATGTTTGAGACAACGGGGGAAACACATCTAACCTACGACTTTGCATAACAAAAAAGTGAGCGATGTTTTGCCAACTGTATCCACACTTTAACAGCCAATCGTGTATCGTATGATGTGCTGGTGTTTGGCCAACATCTGGTTCATCTCGATTTAGCATCAATGCATTGCACGGCACAGTCAGTGCACAGTCATCATCATCAACACCAACACCAACTTCATCATCATTTTCAAGTGATTCCCTCATATGTGAGCTCATAATCAACTCATTTATTGCTAACAACCAAAAACCATCGCAAGTCGTGTCTCTCTTTCTCTTAACAGAATAAGAGCCGCAAATGTGTTAACCGTTTTTCAAAATACACATCCATTGCTTGCATTGACTCTACTGTAAGAACACTAGAATTCAGTCAAAATTCGCAGATTATATGTGCTCTCAATTGTATTTTCATTTCTCTTTATGTTTTATTAGTTTTTGTGAATCAGTCGACGAGTGAAGAGAGAGTAAGAAGACCTACAAAACGGCACATTCTGTCGACATTTGTCTCTTTCGCCACAAAATAATCAGTGCATTAGAAGACAATAAGTCTAAACAATAACTGCCGGCGCTATAAGACTCCAGTTGTGATAACGAAGATAATGTCGATAAAGACATTTTCAGTCAACTTATTGATTTTGGTCTACTTCTGGGCTTTTCTATTTAGAGGTAAGGGTTAGCCAATGTTAGCCAACATTATTACTAATCATACAATATCTCATTCCTCTCTCTCTCTCTCTCTCTCTCTCTCTCTCTAATGTGAATATTACTTATTAAACGACTATCGCATGAATTTCCACTTAAAAAGTTTGACATTACATTCCATTGCTCTGTGTTTCCTCTTATACTTTATTTGCATTGAATGTTTGCCTGACATTACATTATATAAGCCTTGATTTGAATGGCATGTAATTCAGTGCTAAATGCAGTTTGAAATGACAAGAAAATGAAGATCACATAAATATATTCTTGATTTGGATTTAATCCAAAACAATGCTCTCTCTCTCTCTCTCTCTCTCTCTCTCTCTCTCTCCCCTCCTGTGACTTTACTCTCTATTGCTTTTACTTTTATATTAGTGTTGATCTCATATAGTGATCGGTTTTGTCTGTCGTTGTATTTAGTGTTGAATTATTGATAACCGATTAAAGAATACAAAAAATACAATGAAAGCACTGAAAGGACTAAAATTTCTTTATATAAAATATAGTTAAGTGCTTCACATGTGATGGCGAGTGCTGTTAGGTCTTCGAGTATTGAGTAGTAGTATTGAGTGAATGTCCAGTAATGCTGTAAAGAAAGCCTAATTAGTCGGTCAACAGGAGAGGGAAAGGCAGGAATGGGAGGAAAGGGCCGTTTAATGCTTGCTTTGGGACTACTTTTAGGCAACTCTGGGATCAATAAAAACGAATCTGACGTGAGCTGAGAATATGCTGCCCAACACTCATACTCTTACATACAGTATATTATATAATAGCATAGCCTGTGCTGTACTGCCTGTGCACTGTCTGTGCCTCTGAACACAACACACATAACAAAAGACAATACGATTGTCTAATTGTAAGCTTTCCCTTAATTAAAGCAACTCTTCACTCGTAGAGTCGGTGGCAATGTTTATGAGTGCCAGAGGGAGACCTAAACTCTCATAATATATACACATAAATGTATAGACTATAAAGCAGGTGCTCTTAACACAGATAACATTCAACGACATTAGCTTTAAGATCGACACACAGTCTGTATTATGTAATGCATAGATATATTATGTGAACAAAAAAGCGATTTATTGGCAAAACAAAGCAAAATCTGATTATACTTTTGGCGAACAGTAAATATGAAGTGTTTTTATTAAATATGCATGAATTCAGAATTGGACACGAAAAGGGATGCCATTGTATATATGATTGTATGCCATTGTATATACCAGTCCTTACCAGTGATGGTACCATCACTTGCACACACAAGTCATATGTATTCAACATTCATTTGATCTATTGTTCCGCTGAGAAGTCTATATAAACTTAGGAATCGCTATAAATTATAACTTGGATTGAAGTATATGTGAATACAGACTATAGCTCTGGGAGAGGGATAGCGATGGAGAGGGCGGTAAAAGACAGGCGAACGTCAATATTTGTCTACAATTGACTGAGACATGAATAGACATGAATGCAGATTATAGTTAGATATGAGAAGACGTGAGGAGACTAGTTATGAAATGCGATTGTTTTATATCATAATATCATAAGTCGTCGTTTTGTTTGTCGAAAAGGCGTATATCTGATGAAAAAATCATTGCAATAAATGATCGGAAGGGTATCCAGAGGTCAAGTGTTTATAACCGGCGTTTTCAAGATTTCCTCCGCTCTCTTCAGCAGTAGTGGTGCTGTTGTTATAATGTAGTGATAGTAGTAGTGATGGTGTAGTGTTTGGTGGGGCCGACAGTTGTTGGGCTGGGAGTTAGTGCTGACTAGTAGTGACTACAACTGCATCTCCGATCTCTTGATGCATATATCCTATCTGTGAGGAAACGCTCTCTAATGAATAGTAACCACAAGTCTTTATCTCTGATCATCGATGCGTTGAACAGAGACTAAGAAAATAGTTGAATCGGTTTTATGTTCAGACCTCCAGAAACCACAACAAAAACACATTTATCGCAAAGTTTGGCCGCAATTTGAGGTCTTTTCCCAATTGAAGCGATTCTAAAATAAGTGAAGCTTTCGGTAAAATTTCTTTACCAATAGATCACTACTAAGTCTCACATTTATATCATGGGAAAGGCATCGCATCTGCGATTAATAGCTAAACATTGCATTAATGCCTTAAAGATTTATTACGAAAGCCATTCGACAGAGAAATCGCTAATATATTACACATACAGTTGTGTAAAGAATATGTCCAAAGTATATGTGCTTACAATACAAACATAACAATAACGCACACAAAACACTAACCATCACTTCCAACGGCCATTCGAGCTGTCATTTCGAGCACTTTCTCGCAGCTGACAGACCAACAGTCGTCCGACAATCTGACCATTTCATAGGCAACCCATCAAATCACACCCTTTTATACACATCTCTATTGCTTTATATTCTCATTCCGAGTCTCCCGTAATTGCATCACTTTTAGGTCCTCTTTATTTCTTTGGTTTATATTTCTCACATTTTATACAATTAAATATACTTTATATTTATTTAAAGTATTTACTTAAATATTAAGTACAATAAATGATTTTTTCAATAATGAACTTACAATTAAAATATAAATTAATGTTAGAACTTGTAATATAAGGCAAGTGCTGGTTGTAAATTGGATAATAATTATTAAAATATAAGTTGTATGACTTTGTGTACATGTTAAATATCTAGTGAATTACTAATTACAAAATAACAATTGGATTTTATAGAGTAGTAAAAGTTTTAATAATTGTTATGAAAACAAAAGAATATGAAAGGAAAATAAGTTTTACTCTTATTTGACCTCAATTTTAGCCGACAGTCCAGTAGTAGTGAAGGGCGTTGCGGGTCAGTCGGCATCATTGCCCTGTCATATAGACCAGAAAGCGTGTGGAGAGGTATACTTCTTGACGTGGACTAAACAGGAGAGAGACGACCGGTGGTCAAGGATTTACATCTTTGCCGATAATGTGGAGAAGCCGTTGAGAGATCTGTCCGGAAGGGCCAGGTTTTCGCTCCATAAAAGCGAAGCTCAGCTATCGATCAATCAGTTAAAGGCCGGCGACGAAGCTCTCTATAAGGTTTGATACACTAATCATCAATAATAGCAATAATGAAGTGAATTAGTGTTAAGTCTCTAAAGAAGACAATAAAGAAAATGTTGTTTTTTATATGTGTTTTTAGTGTGATGTAACATATGTCGGGGGAAAGTGTCCGTCGCTTACATTTGTAAGACTCGATATAATAGGTATAGAATTTTTGTTATTGTTTTGAGACCGAAATTAAGACAAATTGATTTGTGTGTCAAATGTTTACAACATTTTCAATACCCGGTGTTATAGTGAGGCCATCGAAGGCTTATATCGAGCACAAGAATTCTCAGATTGAAAATGGCAGTGAAATCGGGGGCTCAGAGGGAGACCTCTTGACACTGGCCTGTGTTGTGATCGGCGGTAAACCGATGCCATCGGTCTTCTGGACGATCATTGCCAGCGACGGCTCCGCCAAAACAATTGAAGCCAAGAATGCGTCCTCATATGCAGACAATATGACACGACTTGTATTAACTAAACAATTATCGAGAAGTGATTTAAAAAGCAGATACGAGTGTCACGTCCGACACGAGGCCATCAAAAATAACTCAATGGATTCGCACGTTATGATTGATTTGAGCGGTAATTATCTCTCCAATCACTTGTAATCTTATTTAATACAAACTTTTTTGGTTGTAATCAATAAGAAGTTAATTTGAAAAGTTTTTTCGCTTTCTTTTTTGTTTCCTTTTGATGAAAAGTTGGCGCAAAGTCTATAGAAATCGTGGGTCCGAGCGATCATATCAAAGAAGGAGATGTGGCTCTTATTCAATGCATAGCATATGGGAGTAAACCGGAGACACAAATAGTGTGGAAAAATGGGTAATTCACTGATTAGACAATTGCATCGGATGTATGAGCCGTACATCCCATAGATTTCATCTAAAGTTGAGATTTTTTATTGTCTTCATTTAGAACTCATATTATAGATACAGAAGTGAAGAGTGAAGTCGAGCCCAATAGCGACGGATCGACACTTAATACTCGATCTTATTTAGAGCTAAGAGTCACACGATTTGATCACTTGAATGCAATCCAATGTCTGGCCATAAATACAGCGATGAAAGAGGCGATCAAACAATCGATTGAACTGAAAATTCAATGTAAGTCCTAAAGCCAGAGGCAATTCTCTTCTCTATCTTCTATTGTTCTTTATTTTTAGTGCATTTCTTTTGTAACATTTATGTAACAATTGTTTTGTGTTTTATTTCATTTTATATGAAAAGATCCTCCAATTGTCGTAATGGAGCCAAAGAACGGATTGATAGTGAATGAGAGCGCAGATATGGTAAATATTTATTGTACTTTTTCATCAAATCCGCCCGAAATCATCGAAAACGACACCAAATGGTATAAAGACAACCAAATACTAGCGCTCGACGATAGCCAGCATTATATGACATCTCTCTCCGGATACCCAATACTTACAATTGTAAATCCCATGCGAAACGATTCCGGAGATTATTTTTGCTCAGTTTCTAATGATATTGGAATTGGAAAACCATTGGAAACCTTACCGCTGAACGTATTATTCCCTCCAACAGTCAATCTTCAGATATACCCAAATCCTGAACAGGGATTTACTATCAAAGAAGGAGATGATGTCCGTATGATTTGTGATATCATTGACGGCAATCCACTCAATGCATCAAAGGTTAAGTGGATGAAGAATGGCCACCAACTGGTCAGTGAACTCAGCACTGCTGAGCCCAGCACTCATAAGGAGATCACGTGGCTTAGTGTGACCCGAACTCTATCGGGAAACTACACATGTCTGGCCATTTCAGAGGCCGGTGTCAGTGAAGTGAGTAATTCTATCCAAATTGATGTCAGTTATCCTCCGAGCAAAGCCTTAATCAGACAATTCAATGGAATCCATGCCGTGAAAGGACATAATCTATCTCTTGAGTGCATTGTCTCTGATGTGGGAAAGCCGTCGACAACTACTGAGTATCAATGGGAAAGTGCAGACGGAGTGCCCTTTCAGACCAAACAATCAATTTTGTATTTAACGGATTTAAAGCTCACAAACAGCGGAAACATCAGTTGTGCGGCCGTTAATGAGGTCGGGATCGGCCCTAAAGGCATATACAAAGTGACACCTTTAGCCCCGCCAAACATTATTGATTTTCTTCCCACAACTTTCGGAATCAATGAAAACGTATTCAATAAGAGTTGGGCACAACTTGAAGCTGAGGAACCCATCGGTATCTCATGTCGAGTGGAATGTTATCCAATTTGTCAAATATTTTGGTATAAAAATAGTGAATTAATTGACAATTCGTCCCTAAATTACACAATCAAAAACTCAATACATCCCGAAGAGATTCAATTGAATCGTTTTGTTAGTGTTGTCTCAACTCTTATATTCAATTTGAGTGCATTATCGCCGGCAGATCGGAGTCGAGACAGTAAAGTGTTTTACTCGTGTGTTAGCAGTGATAACAGTGTCGGGCCTTCAGTCAAGTCTCGAACACAATTCATCGTCGAGTGTATGTATTATTGAAATTTTCAAATCTCTGTCATAACTCATAAATAATGAGTATTTGTATTAAAAAAATAGTATTGCATTTTTGTTTCCTTTCTATCGTATCACAAACTCAATCATTTCTCAAACAAATCATCGTTTTTATTAAAAATTTATTTATCAAAAAAATGAAATAAAACAAAAAGTTATGTTTACTTCACTATAACATGCATTCAGTATTAATACAGTTATAGAACTTCAATATACCTTTTGATGCGATAAAAATTGTTTTAGTTTTGATTATATTTGAGGCTATATTTGAGGCTATATTTGTGCACATTATTTGAGTATTTAATTATTTATGAAATGAAAACTCAATTCTCTCTCTCTCTCTCTCTTCGGGATGTATTGAGTTTTTGATTGTGTAATTTAGGGACGAATCATTGACTGCTCTATTAACTCAAACAATTAAATTTAAATAATCCTCCCTTTTATTTCTCTCATTTCTGTTTCTTTAATGCATTCAATCGTACAATGCATTCAAAGTTAGCCAAATATATCATCTCTTTTTAACCAATCATTATATACAGTATATTCCGTTTATTCTGTATTTTTCCATTTCTTTTGCTTCAAAATTGAAAATTTATTTTCAAATGTTTTATAGTCTGCGGAATATTATATTAAAGTTTTATCTGAATATAATTTAATTTGATTTCAGACTCACCGGAGAATATGAGAGTTCGTCCAAAACGTGTGGATGTGATTGAATACGACATTCCGCCTGAGATTTCATGCGAAAGCGATTCCCTGCCTCCGGCTTCTTATCGGTGGCACTCGTCCTCTACTGTCGACAAATTTATTGGAGTTATTGCCGACACACCTGTCCTTTCACTCAACACTTCCATCCATAGAGACAGAGCCGGCACTTACACCTGTATTGCATCCAATCGTCACGGAGAGAACCAAATCGATCTTTTAATTAACGTCCTCTGTATGTCATCTCTCTCTCTCTCTCTCTCTCTCTCTCTATGAGTTAAAAAATCTTTTATCGATTAAAAAAAGTTTTCTGATTCTCTTCTTTAATCGCATCGATCGTTAAAAACCAAAATTTTATTAATAGTATCGAAGAATCGTATCTTTAGTTATATATATAAAGACAAAATTTATTAATAAATAAATTTTAAAATGTAATTCAAAACCAAAATTCATTTGACTTTACTTTTCCTAAAGTCTAAAAATATAAGGGAATAAAACACATAAAACCATAAATCAAAACTGAAAACTGAATTTTTAAGTAATTTAAAAATATGAGTAAAAGTGGAGAGAATAACAAGCAATAAATGGGTGGAAAACAAGTCTTTGGCAACTCGTTAGCACTGATGGCAAAAATGTTAGCATTAGTTTGTAGTGCTTTCGGTGGTGTTATTCTTGGTGTCAATGCATTAAAGTTTAACCCATTTTATAGTTGACATAACTCTCATAGTCTGTGAATTAAGCCGCACTTGGCTTTGGGTTTGTTGTCATCAGAACCCTCTGATCGATATTGTTTAACATCACATCCAATGCCTCACATGAATGACACACTAAATAAAACTCCAACAAAATTAGTCTTTTGATAGAAAATTGCAGAATTGATAGCATTTGATATCCAAAATCCTTATACTCATCATTGACTGCTCTATTAACTCAAACAATTAAATTTAAATAATCCTCCCTTTTATTTCTCTCATTTCTGTTTCTTTAATGCATTCAATCGTACAATGCATTCAAAGTTAGCCAAATATATCATCTCTTTTTAACCAATCATTATATACAGTATATTCCGTTTATTCTGTATTTTTCCATTTCTTTTGCTTCAAAATTGAAAATTTATTTTCAAATGTTTTATAGTCTGCGGAATATTATATTAAAGTTTTATCTGAATATAATTTAATTTGATTTCAGACTCACCGGAGAATATGAGAGTTCGTCCAAAACGTGTGGATGTGATTGAATACGACATTCCGCCTGAGATTTCATGCGAAAGCGATTCCCTGCCTCCGGCTTCTTATCGGTGGCACTCGTCCTCTACTGTCGACAAATTTATTGGAGTTATTGCCGACACACCTGTCCTTTCACTCAACACTTCCATCCATAGAGACAGAGCCGGCACTTACACCTGTATTGCATCCAATCGTCACGGAGAGAACCAAATCGATCTTTTAATTAACGTCCTCTGTATGTCATCTCTCTCTCTCTCTCTCTCTCTCTCTCTCTCTCTCTCTCTCTCTCTCTC